GGGTCACCAAGGATAAACTGGTGGGTTTGAACTGCCAACCTTGTGGTCAGCATTTCAATGCTTATGGTACAGGGTTATGCCAGAGAGCTAATAGTATTCCAGAGGAGTCTATGGATGCTGTAAATAGTTACTACACTCAAATGCTAACCATAATGCTCCTCAGAAGAAAACAAATGATCTACTTGTTATGAGTCAGAACAGACTCAACGTCAATTAACAACAACAACAAATATAATACATATAAAGAATATGAATTTTAAAAATGCTGTAATTTGTTTCTCAGGTTCTTGCAATTTTCTTCAGATTCAACTTAAATTTACATAGGAGCTATTCATGTTCTTTTCTTCAGTGAGTCCCTGTACTTGTTCTAACTGATGATATTGATCTTCTTTATCATTTCTGTCCTCAGAATAGTCAATTTAATTTTTAAGCATTCCATCTGGTAAGATCCATGCATATAAACAGGGTCCATGTAGATCAATTTTGAAATGTTCTTTTATGATAATGAATGTGAGGTCATTTCTCTTTACTTTGTGATTTGTTTTCAAACAATAAGTTACCCGTCTTACAAAATTCTATCATGTGATATTTGGAATCATTTTACCATTGAGATCATGTTTTCCCACTACTGATCCATCTTTATTTTTAATATTTTCATTATAGTCAACTCAATAGTAATAATCAAAATATCTTGATTACATTTTTAGACTTTTTTAGACTGATAATTTATAGACTACAAAAGTTCACCAAAGTTTCCTATTTCTTCATCTTTGACGTTAATGTTAGGTACATAACTTTAAATAATATTCAGTAACTGATTTTTGTAGGACTATGGATACTATCCTATCACTGTCAGTGTTGCACTTCATGATAGATTTTGAAATATTGTTTTGTGACAACAAATGTGATGTTATTACTCTTTACTTTGTCATTCCTGGAATTGCTTTTGTTTAAAAACATTTGAGTTAGCTCTGACTTGGATTGATCATGTATACAGTTTTTCAAGTCTTGTAAATATTTGTGGGAGCAGAAACCTCATCTTTCTTCTACATTGAAGATGGTGAGCCTGAACTACTGACCTTCGAATTAGCAGTAATGTACCTATTCACTCCCCATTACTAGTATGGTGGTGTTGGTGGTGTGATGTGGAGTCAGTTCTGACTCATAGGGACCATGCATAGCATTCAGAAGATGTAAGTAGTTATAGGAGCAGAAATCCTCATCTTTCTCCTGCAGAACAACTGATAGTTTTGAATTGAAGACTTTGAAGTTAGCAGCCCAACTCTAACCACTACACTCCAGCTAGGCCATATTTTCATGGATTCAAAATGCCCAGTACCAGTCCATTTCATCATATTAATGTCTATGATATTGATATGTATCCATTTTTAATGAATTATGATTTCCTTAGGTTCATATCTGTACTGGTTTAATAATACTGGATACTTACAGCAGTTTCTTCTCATTTTGAGTTAAATTACAAAAGCTTTAATCCATCTACATCATTGAGGTAGGCTATATTTTGGGAAGACAGCTTTTTCTTAGTCATGTTTTGCTTCCAAACTAAGCTGAGAGACTAAGCTTCTGGCAC